TTTTTGAGAACACATGAAAATGTGTAATGGGAAAGCTATTATATTGACATACCTAATGAACAAAAAGTCTTTGGAGATATTATACTTGATGTGTATCATAGAGATGATGCAACTCAGAGAATTATCATGAGAAAATAATTGTCTTCATTCATGGAGGCTTAGCACATAAATTCAGAAGAAAATATTTTGATCATTATGGCAACAGGTTCCCCAGAGAAGTAGTTAGCTACCTTTGCAGGTAATTGCTTTTCCATATGCTGATATAAAGGTTACATAGACATCTTTTTAACTAGACATAAACCTGCATTTCATGAAATAAGATCACTTTGTATTATATCACTTTTTAAGTCACTAGAAGTAACTGTCATTCTTTTACCTTCTTTCACTGAGTAGAATGATCTCCAATAATAAAACGCTATCCCCTTGTGATCCTCTTAAATCTTTGAGAGTTGTACAGAGTGTCAGAGAGTTCCATTCATTTGAATTTAAAGACTACTAACATACAGAACAACATTTATGAAAAAGAAGGGTTTTGTCCTGCTATATACTTGGTTTTTATAGATTGTTTTTTATTAGAATTTCTCCAAAAATATTTTCTAACTTTATTAACTCTTAGAAATCTCTTTAAGAGTGTGTTGCAATTTCTTATGTTTTGGGTGAACAGTTGTTGATGAATGTCAATGAATTTTTATTTCTTCTGACCTGATAGTTTTTAAAAGGCAACTTTCCTCTGCATGATCAAACTTGCACTACACCTAAGGTCCCCAGGGGCAGGAAAAAAAGTAAAGTCACATCACTGACAATCAAGATCACCATTTCATAACTACTCTTAATACTTTTTGCACTTAAACATCTCATTGCATCTAAACTACACTTAAGCTTTAAGAAAAAAGACATTTCATTACTAGGAAGATCTATTTTTAATATTCACATGTTGAAATCTAACTGACATAACAGTAACACTGCTGTAAAGTTACTGAGAATTTAAAGATAAGCTTTTACAGTCTCCTTGAAGCTTCCATGAATTCTTAAAAGTACTTCCTAATAGATCTGAAGTTGCTGAAACTGGTTCTTCCGTGAATTTATCAGGTCCATACTACCTGGATATACTTTAAGTTCAAGGACTTACTGAGCTTACCTTTCCATGTTTCAATGTAAAGATCTTTTGCACGTATTTTTGAGTTAATTTTATACATTATATGACTAGCATTAGTCTTTTCAGAGAAGATAGGCACAGGAAAATCATTAAACTGTTTCACTGTCATCATAATGTCATTTCATGGTTTTCTTTTCCTATTGGGCAATGGATGGACTAGTTCCTATAACTTACTTTTCTCCTTGCTTCTGGAGTATTGCTTTTTATCCTTAATGTTGTACTTGGTGTACTTTTAAAAATATAGCTGTAACCTTATTAATTTTAATAGAAATATATAAAAAGAAAATAGAAGTATATAAAAATAGAATCTCAGCAGTGTCATGATTCAGCAGTTTATTTTATTTAGAAAGAAAAAAAGGTGTAGTAGGCAATAGGGGAATAGATACACTCTAATCTTTCTCAATGGCAAGAGATCTCCCTGTTTTTTCCTTTGCATTGTGGGTAAAATCTTGTATTCTAAATTTCCATTTCTGTGCAGATATAAATCTCTGCTGTGACACTTGCAGAACATCTTCCCCACCCTTTTTCACTGACCATGGTGTCTTCACATATTCTCACTCCTCTCTTTCTCTCTCTGCAGTAGTTTTTCCCCAATTCTGAAATATGTTATCACTAAGGTATTACTGCTGGCACTGATGGGCTCGGCCCTGGCCAGCAGATGGGCCGTCTTTGGAGCTGGCTGGCATTGGTTGTATTTAGGAATCTTCTATTAACTTCTTGCAGAAACCGCCCCTACAGGTCCCCTTCTGCCAAAATCTGGCCACGCAAAACCAATACATGCATTTAATCCCACTGAATACAGGTGTGGAGATTTAGAGCTGCATGAATTTTGTTAATTTACCACAGAGAATTCATCTGATTATTCCTTGAGATTTGTATTCAGTACAGTAATTGCATCTACTAGCATTTGTCTTACCTTACTTGGTGCTTATTGTCTAAAACATGAACAAAGACTGAGTTGTATATTTAACCTATCATCAAATACAACCTGAATATTTGTAGCATATTGTTGTAGAAAATGCTGCCATTTGTTTATTTTCTTTCTCTATTCAGTTTTATAATTGGAGAAGTCTATCCTGTATTGAGAAGAACAAGAAATAATGGGTTTAAGTTGGAACATAGGAAGTTCCATCTCAGCATGAGGAGAAGCTTCTTTACTGTGAGGGTGCTGGAGCACTGGCACAGGCTGCCCAGAGAGGTTGTGCAGTCTCCTCCTTTGGAGACTTTCAAAACCCGCCTGGATACGTTCCTGGGTGGCTGCCCTAGGGGATCCTGCTCGGGCAGCGTCATCTCTAGAGGTCCCTTCCAACCCCTAACATTCTACAACTCTATGCAAAAATACTATATTTTGCTATACTTTTTTCCTATCGACTATGAATATTCTGCCAATCATTTTTTTTTAAGTTGTAAAAGCACTTTCTTTTCCCCTGCATTTTAAGAGGCTTACAGTGTCCATTGAAACAATGTTTTTGATACTAATGTATAAAGTAACTTGCTAAGGAACACATTTAAATATAACGTTTATGTTAATTCCTTGAAAATATTTCTATGGCATTTATAGTGTCATTTTTTTTTCAAATAAAAATGAGAAAGAGGGTCTTCTGTCTAACTTTGGTTTGGAGGTAAATGAAGACTGTAGACAGACATAACCAAAAGCTAAAAGGATGCTACTTTTCATTTTAGTTCTTTGTACGGGGAGTGGGATCATGACAATGTACTACTTTAGGCTAAAAAGAAAAGAAAGGTGTGGGGGCACTCATTTTCTGTTCTGGCTGTTTATTTTTACAGGAAGAGCCTTATGTTATGTTCAAGAAGTCTGACAAACCGTTGTACGGAAATGATCGATTTGAAGGTTATTGTATTGACCTCCTCAGGGAGCTGTCTACTATCCTTGGATTTTCCTATGAGATTAGACTGGTGGAGGATGGAAAATACGGAGCCCAGGAAGATGCCAGCGGACAGTGGAATGGAATGGTTCGTGAGCTAATTGATCATGTAAGTTAGCTTTTGGAAGCTTTCTACAACCCGTTTAGATTCCAATTCTGTCTATGCAAACTGTAAAACTTCTGTGCCATTTGAATAATACTATTCTGGAAAATCCAGATGTTTAAAGAAGTAATGGAAGTAGATTCACGTCAATGTCTCCTTTAGTGTAGAAATTGTTTGTTAAATGAAGACTGTTCTACATCTCTGTTTTGCCTAGAGGCAGCATTTGTTTCTGCCAAACTGGTTTAGCTTTTCTGTGGCATATGCCTGAGTCAAAATATGGAATAGATAGTATTCAAAATTTATTTCTAAGAAGAAATATATGTTTGGGTTTTTTTGTGACAAAAAGTACATCTTCATTATCCAAAAGAATTCGGGCATCCTCGTCTGATAGTGGATCTGAGACTTTGTCTTAGGAAAATTTCTGTGTATGTAGTGTAAACACATAAATTATTTGATATACACAAGGAAGAGGAACGTTTTGCTTGAAACATTAAAAATAAAGTATAAGCAGTAAGATAAAAATACCAACATATATTGAAGGAGCAAATGTGTGTCAAAACAGATACTATTACAATTACTTGTAAATAAATAAGGCAGGCATTGTTTTGTGTCCTTCAAAGCATGCTTTCCCAGTTGGTCATGCCAGTTGAATTCAGTCTCTTAGTCAATTGAGAATTATGTCATTTTCTGGTTTTGCGTTTATTTGGGTGAATTGCTTGATACAGGGATGTTTGATCAAAGAACATGATAAAGATTATTTTGCACATCACTGTCATTTAAAATAAGAAGGGGATACATTTTTATATCTAATTCAGGTGAAACCTTCATGGCAGAAACTGCGCGAATAGCTTGAAGAAAAATATTCAAAATATTTAAATTCTTTGATATAAAATCTTCTTTCAATTTGCTTTAAGATTTCAGCAGATGGGCAGAATATGTGTTAATCAAAATCCTCATATTTACCAGGGTGGTTGTTATCTTTGTGCTTTTCTAGTAAATAATAATCTAGTATTGATGTTGGAACAGATGTTGATTATGCCTAGCTTCACACTTTTAAGAATAATGCGTGGGAGTATCGTATTTATATTATCTTTAAATGTGTGGATGTGTTATACCTAGTACACATACATAGAAAGTAAACAGATATTTATCTAGGCACTGCATTTCTATATGTGCATATTTTTACATGTATAAAAGCATAGGCATGCAAAGCTATTAGATTTGGTGATTGTTAGATAGTGTCATTATCTGGAACTAATCTTCCGTGATTGGGGTGGATATTGTGGAAATGTATCTTTTATAGTTCTTCAGAAGTGAAGAAAAAGCGCATTTTGGTATGTTGTTATTAATCAGCCCTAAAGCTTTCTTGAACAAGTACTAATATCGCTTCCTAGGCTTCTCACTAAGATGATGTTAAAATAAAATGGATTTGAAGAAGTTGCATCCGTAAAGTGTGTGGAACAGGAGCTTTTCCAATCCTTTCCTCTTGATAACACAAAATGGAATATGTGTTCCTTTTTCTTATAGAAAACGTATAGCTAAACTTAGATTAAAATGTATTTTGCCTTTTGAAATTATATTTACTTAGGAGTCAGAAAAGCTTTGATACAGTTAGTGCATCATGGAACATGTAATCTCTCTTAACCTGGATCATAACTTTGCTAGTCTCTCTCAGTTTCTCAATTGTTAAAATTTTGCTTTATTTTTTTCTGTGGCTTTTTTATTATTTTGTAGTCTATCTGAATACATGTAATTTACTTATGCATCTCTGCCCTTTATTTGCATGCATATTATTGGTACATTTTATTAACAAGCAACAATTCAAACCTTAGAACTGATGCAGAATAATTTAGAGAATTCCAGATAGACAGTTACTACATTCTTGTTTCCATATGGTTAGTGCTTCACGTGGCCCATTAACTTAGCTTTTAATTATTTCTTTTCCTTTAGAGAATTCTTTTTAAAGTGTGAAAAAAGGTCTGGTTTTGTAAAAAGTCATATAGAATAAAGAGAGAATTCGGCAAGTTGCCATAGTACTTACATCTATCTGAAAAATATTTTTACAATTTATTTTATTTTTATCTGCTTATTATGTTTTAACTGTCATTCACATAAGTTCAGAAAGAAAGGATACTGTGAGGTAGTATACAGTATATAGGATACATATAGTATATAGGATACTGTGAGGTAGTTTGCATTATTTATAATTCAAGAATAAATAAAATGGGTATTTTCAATGTAATGTTTGCGTAGAAAGGAAGATGCACGATTTATATAAAAAGTGCCAAAAGAAACTGATTTTTTCTACAAACTGTTTAAACTTGTGATTTACATAATTTCTTGGACTCAAAAGTGTAAGTGACTTGAAGATAGTGTTATCTGAACTGAACTCAGCATATCATGTCAGTCTCAGGCCTGAAATTCTAATGTGTGAACAGAGACTGAAGCCTTTACATCAGACATTGTGTGTTTTCATTCTCCTTTCCCATAGTTTACTCACATTTCTTCTTTTTCTGACTGTTTTACTCAGTGTTCATATATACCATCATTGTGATACTGATGTCCAAACAATGACTAGTTTCCTTTTGAAAAAATAGCAAATACTGAAAGTGAAAAATGAATTCAGTGATTGCTTCTCTTTGACAGCTGAATGATAATAAATTCTTGTTGGAAAAGACAGTGCAGATGGAGAAGAAATTTTCACTGGGACAGCAAATATAGATGAGTTTTCTCTATGAAAACATTTTAAATTAAATTTGTCAAGTCAAGCAGTCTGATTTCTTTTCCACAATTTTTCATTCAGTATTTTACCCTCCTCTCTAGTTAATTCAAGTTCACAAGAGTGTGTGTGGGAGAGGGGAAGCTAAAATCCAGGTATCTTCATCTTTAATAGATGAATTCTTCTTTATACTGACTTGCTGCCTTTTGTTCAAGAACTTTATTCAATGATACTTTTATTGAATTTTCTTTGAATTGAACTATAAATTCTGAAGATTTCAGTTATTATGTGATGCTAAAAGTTGTTATGGCACTAAATTTTATTGCATGAGACATTTAGTGTGAGTGTTTAAATTTTAGAATCATAGAATAATAAACCAGTTTTTGTTGGAAGAGACCTTCAAGATCATCGAGTCCAACCTTTGTCCCAGCCCCATCAACACCACTAAACCACGTCCCTCAGCACAACATCTGCCCGTCTGTTAAGGACCTCCAGGGACGGTGACTCAGCCGCCTCACTGGGCAGATGTTCCAATGCCTGACAATCCTTTCAGCAAAGAAATTCTTCCTAATATCCAACCTGAACCTCCCCTGGTGCAACTTTAGGCCATTTCCCCTTGTCCTGTCACTCGCCACTAGAGAGAACAGACCAACACTTGCCTTGCTACAAGCTTCTTTCAGGTAGCTATAGAGAGCGATAAAGTCTCCCCTCAGTCTCCTCTTTTCCAGGCAAATTATGTTCTTCTATACCTTGCAGTTACTGATATAATAAAAGTATATAATTTTCTATTTTTTTTTCTGTTAGACATTCTACTTGATAGCTCCAAAATAACTTCAAAACATTCTTATCACTGAGTTCTAATAAAGGCAAAAATTACAATTTTATACTTTCCCAGAGATATAAATAAAAGTCAAAAATCCACTGGGAAGTAATTTGTTATTATTATATATAATTAAAAATATCCACTTTTTTCCCCATTGGCTTTTTGTTTGAATGATTCTTCTGCAGCACAAAGCTTATGCATTACAAATAGACTTAAAGGCTTGCAGATCTTTTATGATTCATAAATAATTGCAGAAAATGTCCAATTTTTAGATCATGACTACCTTTTTATTATATGTGAGGATTAAATGGTAACTTTTCATATCTCCGAAGAGTGAATTTTCAGCTTGGAAGAAGTTAAGCGTGACATGGTTGAACAATAGGAAAGCATTACTTAATTTGAATTTAGACAGCTTTGTGTCTTCAGTATCTTGATTTTTTAAAAATCAATATCATACTAATAAATGCTTACTTACAGGATACTTACATTTATAAAAATAGTAATGCTTTTTATTCAATCTCTCAAAACCAGAATAGTTTTAGATATTTATATAATCAACTTTAAATATTTCTAGAGACATGTTCCTACAATAACTTATTTTTCTTTTTTTTTTTCTTCTAATTTAACGTCCTTATTTTTTTTAGGGACTAGAACTAAGCAATTTGTATTACCATGTAGAAGTGAGAAAGACTTCAGATAAGCAACTCTATAGACTTTTGGTTGCTTCCTTTTCCAGACAGAAAAAATCTATATAAGTAAAGGAATTGAAGTTTTTTCCATCTTTTCTTTCCTCTTAATCCCCTTCTCAAATGCAGTTTCATCACATTGTTTGGACTCTTACTTCTTTCCTTCATACTTACAGAGAGCCTCATAAGGAAAGACTAAAGAGCTTCTCTTGCCTCTTCTCCTCAAAGATAGATGCAGTCTTCCTCCTTGTAACTTCCATGCAAAAGATCTGACAGCTGAGATTTTCAACACAACGCAGGACAGGTTAACTATGCCCCTTTCACTAATCAATATCTAGAAAATTTGTCAGTAGTAGGGAATTAGAGAGTCTTGAGGATATGGGAAGATCGAGCTTTGTCTTTTTGCACCAATGCTAAACGTACCAGACAATAAAACCTGTGGTCCGTCAGTGCTCTTTAGAGCACTGTATCTGTTTTATGGCTGCCTTGTATCAGTGAAAACACTAGTCTGATGTTGACATTTTCAAAGCTATGTATAACACTTAACTCCTAGTGATTTTTTTTTAAATGATGCATGCAAATTAATGTATTGGCGCTTACTTATATACTACTACTTACCATACATTATTATTAGTGAATTACTGTATGAATAGTTCTCCATAGAGATCTCTGGATTGTATTATCTTCATAATTTTTTTTTTTTATTTAATAGAATGTTACATCTTCTTCTCATCTCTATATTTCTCTGAATGACTTAGTTGTTTTCTGCAAGACTCCC